TTCAACCAAATATTACTCTTCAGACTTAAAACTTTTCTTGGGGCTAAAAATACATAAAGCACTTTCCTCATTCATTTTCTTTGCAACATAGTAGAAAAATCTGTTTTTAAAGAGGCAACACAAGTGGGCAAGTCCTGAATATCAGGCATTGTTATTAGAAAATCTAATAGTTTTCTTATCTTAAAAACATATATAATCTAGATCTTCCATTTCTTCCTCAAGAGGAAGCCACATGACTTCACAAACCCTCAAGTCAGGAAAGCCCTTATTAATAATTCTGCTTTTGATGTGACTTGCCCAGGGTCACTAGCAAGGCAGCAGCAGAGGCAAAAATTACATAAGGATCGCCTGTTGTTGGAGGAGCATAATGAAATTAAGAAAGGAAGTGGGTCTCCAGAGAGATATAATAGCTATTTCTAAGCCTTTCAAAAAATAAGCTTCAGATAATCAGAAGTTTGAGGTCAGAGGATAACTTAAGGCCATCAGAAGTTGGCCAGATCGGATTCAGGTCCTCTAGAGAATTCTGTCCTTTTGGCAGTCAGATACAGCGATGCAGCCAAGCCCGGCCTGTGATTTGGGCGCAGCTCCAGATTCCAGCCCCCTCTGAGCCTGGGTTCCAATATGTACAAGGAGCTCGGCAGCAAGCAGGGACCGTTCCTGAACATACGCTTTTAATCAGAGACACTGGGACCTGGATGAGACCTGAGGCATGATTTAATTCATCTCACTTTGCAGATGTAGAAATCAGAGGCCAGACTGGGGACAGGACGCTGAATGCTTGCGCAAGGTCACTTGGCTCTTTAATAAAGAAACAACAGGGTAGGAAGGAAAGGGGTAGCTTTGAGGTGGTAATCTATTTCCAACCCCCAGACCTGCCACTTACTATCTAAGAGACCCCAGGTAAGTCTCTTGACCTAATACGTAAACATTTTATTTTTTGCAGGGGGGACCATAATTACATAGCCTAAATTATAGAATTATTATGATAATTAAATGAGATGAAAATATCAGTGATTGTAAACATGGAGTCATTATTTGTAGCTTAATGTTAATATTAAATTATAATAAAACATAACCTAATAACATCAATGGTGCACTTTTCTGAACCCCCAACACATGCAAAGGGTCTCAGACATCATTTCTTTTAATTCCTGCAAAGACCCAAGGTTGCCTCCCACCGACAACTGTATACTTGGAGCAAGGTTTAAGCCAGGTCATATATACAGCAGGATTTAAACATGATCTTTCACATAGCACCTTCAACCCTGCGATCCAGAAACATGGGCCTGGGGTTCTCTTCCCAGGGCACGCTTGGTTACCCTTTGCCACCCCACTCATTCCCTTTCCCTTGAACAGACAGCTCTTGGCTGTTGAGGGGAGTGCATCCTCATGTTTGTTTGTCCCAGGAAATATTACAGTGCTTTGTACAGGGTACATATCAGTTAAAAATAAATAGATCGCAAGAAATAAAGTGCAACCCGATAATTTATTATTTATTTTGTAATAATAGCTTCATTGAGGGATAATTGAGTAGGAATGGGTCGTTCATTTCTGTCCAGAATCTGTCAACTTTCAGCTAAGCCAGGGGAAGGATAGGGACTTTCCATGATAACTAAGCCATACAGAAAACCTGGGCTTGTAGAGGTTTCCAGACAAGAAAATGAATCTTTCTGCTTGTTTCTATAAACATTTTCTCTGTTAACTTTTCACCAAATTGATTTTGCCCCCGTCCCATTGCTGTTAACCCATTCTTTTGTTAAATGATACATTGGTGCTGCTATTTTTTCCAGCTTTCTTCTCCAGAGGACTTATCTATCAATAAAAGACTGTGTTTTATAACTAACGTCTTTGGTGCAGAAGTAACTGTCCCTTCTTCCCAGGGTCTGAGACCCTTAATCTGCCTTTGGACAGTGTAGCAGACTTTAGCAGAATCTGCCTGGGAAAACTGCATATTTTGAAGATGACTGCAATAATCTCTCCCATACCACATGCTCTTCTAGAAACTTGCCATTCCTCCCTTTGAAAGGTGGAGTCCAGGTTTCCCTTTGAATCTGGGTGGAGTTGTGACTCCCTTGTAATCATTTTGATGAAGTACAAGTGATACTGTGTGATTTCTGAAGCTACATTATGAAGGGCCAATGACACAGGTTTCTCCTTGTTCATGTGAAGCCCTGAACTGCCAAGTAAGCTGTCCAGCTGCGCTGAGGCTGCCGTGCTGTGAGGAAACCCCCAGAGAGGGACCGTGCCCTGGCCTGCTCCCCACTACTCCAACACCACCTCTCCAACACTTCCACCTCCAGCCACTGTTTGAAACCACACTAGAGGCCCCTGGGCCAGAAATGCCCAGCCCAGCTCCTCCCAAACTACTAACCCGCAGTTACAACCACCCAGTTTGGGGGTGCTTTGTTTCTAGCAAAAGCAAGTAAAACATGCCTCTCTTTCTACCCTACTGCCAGTCTGGTTACAGCAGCATGGACACGTGCTGCAGCATCTGTGGTATCAGGAAAAACACTCAAGCATGCTCCTTTTTTTTTTGCTCTTTGACAATAGTAATGCACCCTGGCTCTGTCACCTACCACACGGATGTTTTTAGGAAGATAATGACATTTCAGACCTGGTTTCCCTCCACAGAAAAAGAGGAATTAGAATTATTGCCCAATAGGATAACCTATGAGGCCTCTACAGATAAAGATTTTTATTACGTTATACAATGCTCCACCTTTTCCTGAGAATGTTCATGTGCACTGTCTCATTTTAATCTTTACAAGAACTTTGTGAGGCAGCTGGGAAGATGTCATTGTTCCTTTCGCCCAGTTGAGGGAACTGATATCCAGAGAGGTGGAATGACTTATGCAGGTTCAAGGAGCACCTTGTCCAGTCAGAAACAGAGTCCAGATCTTCTGCTTTTCAAAACCTGGGCTTGGTCTCCACAATCTCGTGAAATATCTGGGTTAATCTGCTTTATTCTTCTCTCCACTTACAGCCCATCTTTACTCCTTAAGAGTCTACTTCATTTTCCCTGCTGCCCCTCAATCAACCTCTCTCCATCTTTAGCTCTCCTACTCTGCTAGAGACTCCATCTATTACAGTCTTGTAGTGTCCCCTTGTATCATCACTCTCAAAGGAACATGAGGTAACCCTTTCAGGAAGAGGTGCTGGATTGTTTTGATTTCTCCTTGAACAAGAGTTCAGACTCCAGAGAGCCAAAGCCAGAATCTTCTTAGAGTTAGAGCTTCCCTTTACTAACCTCCTATATTTGGGATTTTTTTTCAGAGATTTATTTCTCATAGTTCTGGAAGCTGGAAAGTCCAAGATCAAGGTCCCAGCCCACCTTCTGGTACATAGGTGGTCATATTTTCCTTGTGAAGGGTTGAGGGCTCTCTCTGGGGTCTCTTTGATGAGGACACAAATTCCATTCGTGAGGGCCTCACTCTCATGACTGAAGTCCCTCCTGAAGTCCCCACCCCCAAATACCATCACGCTGGGGAAATAGGTTTAAATGTGAACACAGTTCCAGGGTCACACAATCACATCATCCCATGCCATCATCACCAGAGCATGTCTCACTGTTTGACACTTGCTTTTTTGTTTGATTCATTGCTGGGTCTGAACACCAGGTCCAGGAGGGCAGGTCTCATCAGTCTTGCTCGATGTTGTATCGAACACCTGTGTCTCAAACCACATGCTCGGCACACAGCACATGCCCATGGGCCTGGCATTGTGTCATTCCAGCACAAAGCTCCCACAGAGCGGGGACTGTCACCCCTGTTTGTTTAGATGAGGAAATGGAGACACAGAGCAGCTGAATGTCTTGTCCAAGTGGCATAGCCAGACAATCTGGCTCCCGACCACTGCTCTAGACTGTCCCTTGGATGAGACTGACACTCACTGGAGGAGAAGGAAGGTAGAGACAGCAAAAGGGCGGCAGAGGGTGACAGGTCACACAGTGTTGGTTACAAACCTTTGGTTACCAGTGGCAGGAAGCCATCCCCAGTTGGTTTCAGCTAAAAGGAAAAGCCAGGTGTGACCTTACTGCTGGTAGGGCTGGATCAAGAACCCCAAGCAATGGATCGGGCGTCTTTATAATTCGTTTCTGATGATTTTTGTGTTGGCTGCAGCCTCAGCCTCCATGGGGTGACAAGATGGGGCCCAACAGTGCCAGGCGCATGCTTAATTCTAGCTCTCTATATTTGGGATTTTTAACCAAACCCATCAAACTGATCTCTTGAAAGTGAGAAATTCTCACCTGGGAGGTTAGCCAGTCCTACTCCTGGTTGACCCACAAGTGCAAAATGAGGTAATAGCCAAGTTGGGTCTCGACTTCTAGTATTGCAGCTTCAAAGCCAATACTTACTTTACTCTGCATTGGGCACGGGGAAAATTCTTGCAAAATCTCTGCTTACCACTGCCAGTAGGTGCTGGTCATCATGAAGCAGATCCTGGCAAAGAGTTCAGGAGGGGACTTCAGCATCCCATGGGAGAGGCATGGGCCTCAACCCACTCAGGTAATATACCTGAGAAATACTAAATCTGGGTTCCAAGGAAGAATGCCCTGGAGTGTTTCAGTTTCCTTGGTTTGCAAGGACTTAAGACAGCTTTGAGGTTATTTCAAAAGAGAAAATCAAGGCCAATTATTTAGTGAACTTTAGAAGTCATAGGGGCACTAAGTAAATATATGACTTCAGAGCAATTAATTTCTCTCACTTTCCTTCTTTTGTAAAGAGATGAACTAGAAGTGGTCTGGAAAGCCAGCTTTATTATGTGTTACTGTGATGTTCTGGAAAGTTATTTAGTCTTTCTAAGTCCCAGCTTCCACATCTGTAAAATGGGAATAATAGGCACATAATGGGGTTCTAGTGAGAATTCAATTAGATAGTACGTATGAAAAGTATAGTCTTAGATCTTGAACTAAATGGTTGATAAGTGTTGTTTACCATACATCAACTTCTTCCCCTTGCATAGTTACCTTCTCTGTTCTTCTGATCAAATTTACCAGAGGGTTGCTTGATGTCTTCTGACCCCAGTGAAGTTAGAGAAGGTTAGTGAGGTTATATCGCATAAACCATTCTAAGAGTTAAGGGTGAGTTTTAGGTAAACTGTGGTTTTAATGTTTGAGAAGGAGCCTGTGCTGGTGGGGAATTCCATTTTTCAGTGGCAAGATGCAGCAAGCATGGGTTTGCAGTAACGCAGAGCTCCTCCCCTTCTGGCAGTCTTGGGGCCAAAAGACATCTTAAAATCTTCTGTTTTCAGATGACCCTGTTACTGATTAGAAAAGTGTCATTTTTATTTTTAGTTCCACAAAGAGAAAGGCAAATGAAATTTGCCTCACATCATCATTTCTGATACTATTGAATGATTATTTAATGTCCTCAAAATATCTAGGCTTTTAAAAAATATCTTTATATCTATATTGAAAGTGCACATTCATGGATAATCCAATGTCCAACTGGATATTCTCCTGAAAAGCACTTTCCCCCCTTGTTTAGAATCAGAGTGTCACTCGCCACAACATATATGTTGAGTGGAAAAAGAGACTGAGTGGAAAATTCTTTTTCTAAAATAATGATGATAATGATAACAGGAGTTCACACTGTAGGCATTTTATAGGTGGCAAACAACTTTCATTGCCATGATCTCTCGTAAGTCCTCCAACCACCCTGTGAAGTACACATAGCAATTTTATCCCCAAATTACATATGAGAAAATAGGGACTCTGGGGATTTTCAGTGACTTGCCCAAATTTAAGCTACATTTCCTGAGCCAGAGTGCCCCAGGAAGAATCCCAGCAAACTCAAAGCATTAAGCCGATGAGTTCTTCTGTTAAAAATCCCAGTAATGTGTGACCTGCCTGCTCGCTCACTGGAGAGAGAGAGAGGTGGAGGGAGACCTGGGCATAGCCCACTAGCTTACTAAGGAGTTAGGAACAGGTTGGGAGGGAAAAACAGGAAACCGAGTGCTTGGGGACTGAGGAGCTCAAGGTAGAGGTGGTGTTTTGCTGCTGGAACAAATTACCACAAATTCGATGGTTTTAAACAATACAAGGTTATTCTCTAACAGTTTTGGAAGGCAGAAGTCCAAAATTACTTTTTCTAGGCTTTAAAGTCAAAGTGTCAGCAGAGTTTCTTCTGGAGGCTCTAAAGGAGAATTTGTTTCTTTGCCGTTGTCATCTTTTAAAGGCCACTTGTATTTTTTGAACTGTGGTCGCTTGATCTATCTTCAAAGAGCATTGTTCCGATCCCTGCGTCCACTGTCGTGTAGCCACCGCTCTAACTCTGACTCTCTCACACACCTATTATAAAGATTTTTGTGATTACATTGTACCTATCCAGGTAATCCAGGCTTCTCTCCTCATCTCAAGATGCTTAACTATCACATTTAGAACGTCCCTTTACCATGTAAGGTAACATATTCACAGGTTCCAAAATTTGGATATGGCCACCTTTGGGGTCACTACTCAGCCTAATACAGGTGACAAGGTGACAGATGGATGGTGGCAGCCGTTTTTTACTGGTAAATGCATCACTTGCATGGCTGCGTTTGCCTATCTGAAAGCCATACTCACTAACACCTGACCTGTTGGAGCCAAAATAGAAGTTATATCTTTTGATTGCAAGCGAAGTGCTCTTTCAGGCACATCATACCCACCATCTCAAAACTATATTTACATTCATTTTTGCAAATAGCTTACCCTTATATAAGTGGTAATTAATATTTGCATAATGCTTTAGAGTTATTATGTTCTTTATTTACATGAAGCCATTTAAATCCCTACAATTAACCTCTGAGACAGTTACTATTAACACATTCTACGTATGAAGAAGCTAAGGCTAGAAGGTATGAAATGATTTGTCCAAGGTACCCTAGAAGGTAAGGGCAAGGCCAAATGCAAATCCCAAAAGTACCAACATGTGCAGCTCTAAATATTTAATCTACGCTTGAGTCCATCTTACTAGAGGCAGTAGTTTATCTTTTGGGGATACTCTAAAAGTGACGGGATCTCCAGTATGTTTTTGAGAGAAAATGAGTCAATAAAGGTGAAAGTGCTTTGTAGCAGTATGACTCACTACTACAGAAAGTTATTGATGACATTATTGTCACCATCATCATCATTATAATCATCATCCTCCTCATCATCAACTACCCCGGAGACCAAGGAAACTCAAACAGGTCCACACCTCTAATTGTATGTAAAACACTGACCCCAACTGTCTTACAGTCCCCAGAGAGAGTCTCACTATAACACATCTCAGGGTTCTGTGGTTTCTTGGCCCCAGTACAGGTGTGGTTGGTGGAAACAGAGCCCTGAATCAATTAGTCAAGTTCCTGTGCCCTTGACAATATAAGGCAGCCCTTTGCTCTCAGAGTAGGAGTTTCTAAAAAAATTAATTTTGTATGAAAAAGCACTGACCCACCCTGGTGTATGGTAATATTGTATAGCTTTTACTGTAGTTTTTCTCTCTTGTCTTTCTTTCGATGAGGCCATTTGCTCTGCATTTCAAATGTGTCTAATTGGTGGAGAGGAGGGGGTTGGAGGTAATGAGTAGGGATGAGAGAGGAGAGGCAGAGCCCTCTGGCAGGTAGCACTCCTCTTCACCCCACCCTCCTCTCTGCCACATTTTTTAAAGAGAAGCACCTACCTTCTGAAATCTACAACTTCTGAAACAGACCAGATGACTCCGGAGAAAGGTAACCAAGGCATCCTCCACGTGTGGCTGAGCAATCAGCCGGCCCCACCTCATTTGAGTGAGACCGCCAAGAGTCTTCACGTGGGGCTTGGGCTACAGGACCACAATTAGGAAGTGCTCCCTGCCCCTCACAACGGCCACCGTCACCAGACAGGGGGTGTGAAAGACGTGCAGGTGCATTCAGATCATCCTGGTTTGACCAAGTAAAATGAAGCATTAAAAGTTGGGTCCCATAATGAGTCAGAATGGGGGGGGCAGTACCCAGAGCCCTCTGACCCTCCTTGGGAACTAGTCTTGCTTATAGTTGCCCAGCTCTTGGAATCCAGTGTTAGATAAGAGTCTTAGTTCTTGCTATAGGACAAGAGGCACTGAACAGCCCAGGGTCTCCCTTCAAGGCTGTTTCTATCTGTAAACACAGTTGCTTATCAGATAAGCTCTCTCCATCTGTTGGCCCCATCCCCAACAAATGCCATCTCTTTCTGCTCAAATCCTACCCATGCCTCATGCCTCTATTCTACCCCTTCTAAGGAGCCTTCCCTTCTGCCTTTTGCTAAATTTAAGAATTTCCTCTTCCTCAGAGCCACCTTTATGCCTACTCTCAGATACTTATGTATATCATTTTTTAAATGAAAATGACCTCTTACCTATTAAGTCAGGTACACTGCTAAGCACTTTCACACTTGCTGTTTAATTTGCTGTTGAGTTTCCCCTAAAACTAGCCAGAAACTCCTTGAAGACAGAGACTGTACCTGACTCACCATTGCTCCATGCCCTGCCAGGCACTGTACTCTCAATACATAGTTATTGGGTTACTAATTTTAGAAAATTATTTGAAAAAGTTGTAAATTAGTAGAAACTTTGAAGTAGGCAGGCAACAGCCTATTTGTCTACATCCCACTCAGGGAAGAAATTCTCTGAAGGCGTCCTTGCCTGCATAAGGGACTCTGGGTCTGCGAAGGGCCCACAAAGTATGCTCAGGTCTCACCTTGGGTCTTAATCAATTCCCACCTCCCACACCTGCCTGAGGACACTTACTTGGTTCTAGAGTTTTAAGTACCATCAATACTCTGAGGTCTCCTGTATCTCCACCTCCAGCCTCTACTTCTCTCCCAGCCCTGCAATTATCTCCACCCCTCACATCAGTGGTGTGTTTCTGCAGAAGGTTAAACAACATACTCAAGAGAAAATGCATTTTCTCCCACCTGTCACCCTAGCTTTACTAAACCTGCTCCATGTCCTATTAGAAATCACCAGATCATTCTCAGACACTTTCTTCTCTCTGCCTTCACATGCCAGTCATCAAACCCTAGGAGCTTTACTTCAAAAGCAAATACCTCTTATCCACGCAATGCCTTGCCTCAAGTTCTCATTCATTTTCAGCAAAACTACTGATAACATCTGCTCTCTGTCCTCCATGTCTCCTTGGGTTATCTGCTTAAAAAGCAATCTAACCAAGACAGGCTTTCGCTTAAAAATCCCTGTTCATGATTCATTGCCTATAGAATTGAGACAAAATTTCTTGATGGGGGCACAGAACACCCTTCACAATCTGTTTCCAAGCATTTTCTTCAGCCTCTTCACCCCATGTAGTCACCCTGAACTTCTCACCCCAACATACCAATATCTTTCATAATTGTGGACTTTTGCACATGCTGTTCCCCTTTTCTGGCGTGTACTTCTTCTCTTCTCTGATTGGAAAACTCAGTGATATTTCATGACCCAACTCACATTTCACCATCTCCATGAGGTCACCCCTTATTCTTTCCAGGCAGAACTATTTGCTCTGCCTGATCTCCCACAGCAGTTGTTTATATCTGCATAATAACACTTACCACACCGTACTGTAATTTTCCTTTTCAAATGTAAGTCACTACATTATACTTTAAGATCCAGAAGGTTAAGAACCTGTACTTATTAATTATTTATATCCCCAGGGTCTAGCTCATAGTGGGCCCTCAGGAAAAAAAAAAAAACATGTCAAATAAATCATTGAATATACTCAAATCTTCTGTATGCTAAAGGAAACATTACCCAAGTAAACCAGCCCCAACTCTGCGTGCAATGGTTAAAAGGAAGATGAACTTTCCAGTGAGACATACTGGCATTCAAATCCTACCTCTACAACTTACTGTCTGGTCTTAGGCAAGCAGCTTCCAACTCAACACTTCAGTTTTCTCATCTCCAAATGGGAATGTTAACTAACTCACAGCATTGTCATAGATTTCTTAAGTAATTGAATATGTAAATTGTGTAGCACAGAGCCTGGCTAACAAATAGTCAAGATCATTACCATGGATTGACTGTATTGCCCTGGGCCAGCCCCTCCTCTTCCCAAGCCTCCCTGGAAGCTCCCTGTGTAAAATGAAGACTTAGATTGGTATGTCTGAGGTTCCCTCAAGCTCCATCACTGTGAGAATTTACCATAGTCCAAATTCCCAGTGTCACTTCATTCAGCCCAGAAACTTAGCCTGCCTGGTAAGATAAACTCTGAATCTCTTGGGCATTGGCTTTGCTCAGTAAAACCAAAGTCAAATTCACCAGCTGTACTGGAGCTCCTTAAGGGCACAAACTACTACT